CTCCTTCGTCGTCTTCTGGTGGAACCGAACTTCGAATCTCTTCACACAACACTTTCACTCGAAATGGAAGTGAGCTCAACAATTATGAAACAAGAGATTCCTCGAAACTCAACTTTTCTTCGCATACACTCTCACAACCTGGTTTACTTTCCGTAGAAGCTGCCGATGAGGCAAGTTCAGGTGAGTTAGAAACTACAGTCCATTCTGGATGAAAATAACTTTTGGGAAAGGAGGCTAAGAGAAATTTACTTGTATCATCTCACTGTGGGCAAATTGGCTATTAGGCCGGTATCACCGCTTCTATGACAGCCTTATGCGACTGCAACTATTGAATGCGAGAATGCTGGTAACGCATGCATCGCTGGTTAACCTAAACCCCACAGCCCTCGGGTCTGGGAGCAGACAGACAAGTCCATGCTGGCCCTCTCTCCCACTCAGCCAGTCGACCAGACTCGAGTAGAGCACGGGCAGGCTTCTCAATGAGAAGGCAATTGTGTCTACTTGGTTGGCCCATATTCATACTCATCAACGTCCCTTTGGGCTCCGGCAGAAGGCAACCGAAGCTTCGAGCCGAACAAGTGGGTCGGGGCCGACCAGAGCAGTACTTGTTGGGAACTCTGTCAGACTCAAGTATCAACACCCTTGGCTAAAATGTACCAATATTTGGCTGGTATGCATTTGCGGACACATTCACAAGAGGCAGAGGAATGAAGGACGACGAGGCAGTCCGATGCACCAGAATTTGTCTTCTCCCTCCCTCCCGGCTACGAGGCGATGTGAGATGGTGATTCAGAGAGGCTGTGTACAAACGTGGTCTGAGGGTGGGTGTGAAACCTGCCCCACAATCGAGGAGGCAGTCCGGCCGCTTATCTTCCACACGCATACCGCCATCTCTAGCCCCCGGTCGGTCCTTTGGTCTCCACTGTTCTCGATGAGGCCTGAGGCCCATAAATGGGATCCACTCCCATCGACGGCTCCTGCCGTTTGGAAGTCTGTTCGAAACGTGTAGACCGGCATGTAGATGTTCTTGGATTGTTAACATTTTTTCGGTTATTCAGACAGTTTCGGCAACTTCAAAGCATCGTGCAGGGAATAGCTGAAATCGAACAACCCTTGGACAGACACGAAGCCATTTGTTAATGGGCCAACTCCACGGCGTTGGTGAGTTATTATGGTCCCATAGACCTAGTCCTTCCATACAAGCATGTGAGTGTGCGCAAACGCATATCGACTTCGCGATCGTTTTGACTATCATTCACACAATTCCCGTGAACTGATCGTCCATTTCCCACTCTCCCCCTTATCAGGGTCTGCGATCCAAAGTAAATATGAACAGGTGGGATTCTGTGCATATACACACATGCATGTATTTAGGTGTGTGTGTGTGTGCGTGTGTGTATGTGTGTTGGCAAGTGTGAAATGCTTTTATGAAGGCTCGAGTCTTGGTGGTGTGAAGGTGCACATGCGAATCCGAGAGAAGTCAAAAAATGCGCCCTAGAGACAATTTGGCGTTTTACCATCGGGAGTACAGAGCCGGCCGACTAAGAGGCACTTGCCGACCGATTGGAGAGTCATCACAATCATCTTTAGGAGGCCATGTCCAGGGCTCAGTATTATGGCAGACTAGTCAAGAAGGGTCTATTCGTGGTAGTGATCGTGGGTACCAAAGCCTTAAGTGCCAGTTTTCACTAAAGTCCTTTAAGTGAATCATCGCCCAGGCATAGTTTACACTCTCCCCTGGGCTAAAAGAGTCATAGATAACGGGAGGACATTCAAAAAAGGATATAAAAATCACATAAGCCCAGGCTATCAGCTTTATTTTCAACATTTGCCCTCCACAGGCTTTGGGCCACTTATAGGCTGAGGCTCGAAAACGGTAGCGACGACTTGGGTCATCGTAGAGATTTGAACTTTACAAGCCCCCGTCTTCGTTTTATGGAAGGCACATGTTTGGAAAGTCTCTTTGGCAAGGGGCTCACGGTGTCCTACTCAAATTGGTATTTTTCATATGTAAACAGAGTTTCGAGACTACCAGTATATCAGTAATATGAAATGTATTCACCCTATTTCGTTTAAGCTGATGAAGGAATGGTAGTAGAATTTTCCCACAATGATATGAGTAGAGCTGGCGTTTCCATTGAATTTCACATGACCTTGCTTTCCAAGAAGGTGTTCTCAGTGGACTGCAGTTTTGACTTCTCATAGGTTTTGTCAACAACCCCAGCGGGAATCAAACCGCGACAGTGCAGAATGTGAGCTTGACGCGTTAACCACTCGGCCAAATTGCCACATTGTGGGGGAATTCCACTACTACTCCTTCATCAGCTTAAACGAAATAGGGTGGATACATCTCATAATACTGATTTATTGGTAGTCTTGAAACTCTACTCCCATACGAAAAATAAGTAACGTAGTCGATTTTTATAGCAAAAATACGTTTGTTTCATCGACGATCCCACCAAAGAATGTGATATGGGAAAAGG